GCCACCTTATCCATCTGGAGTTTGTGATTTTTGCTCCAGTGAAGAATGGTTATTCCGGCTTGTGGTCTTGGCCTATGGGTTTAGCTTCAACATGATTCTCAGGTTTTTCTGTGGATTCTACTTCAGGATTCGGCAATGAATCCTCTTGTGTGGTGCTCGGAGGGCACTTTGGAACTCTGGGCTTTTCAAGATTTTGCTAAGGTCTGTATTGAGCATCTTGCGCCTGAGAAGTTGTAGTTACTCTTGAGGGAGGCAGCTTTACGCCAAGTGCCACGCAGATCATCTAAGCTGCGGGAAGCACTTTCAGTCCAAATGCAGAAACGTCCTACATGCTCTCCAGGAACAAGTTTCAAAGTGCTCAGTTTGCTTACGTTAAGTAGAGTAATTCCAAGGATGTTTCTGAAGGCCTTCATGATACCGTTGTCCTCACTATAGAGGACGCAGGGTCTCCTGGGCTGGATACCACACATTTGGCCCTTGCCAGGGTCTCTTGGGCTGGATACCAGACATTTGGCTCTTGCCATCTCCCATTTGCTCAGAGGCATAGACCTTCTTGCTATCATTCCAGGCCTTAAGTTTCTTAAGAAGCAAAACAGCCTCCTTGGTCTCCTTGTAGCTTTCAGTTTTTACCTTCGACCACCAACACAAGTTCAGGAATTTCCTCAGTTTGATGACCTTTAGACATGACCAGCGCTGGTAAGGCCGAGGCAGCCAGGGCAGAGCACATGGCATATCGCTGTTGGGTTGTGTTCACTATGCGGTGCCAGTGGTGTCGGGCTTTGGTTGGTGCAAACACACAGCCCCCACAACACATATTTCCAAAAGCACCCTGGCCAGAACTCTGAGTCCCACTGCCTGGAACTCTAGAAATCTGAGCCCCAAGACTCGGCACTGGTTTGATGACCTGCTAATTCACTGACAGCATAGGGCTGTCTGTTGTTTTTGCACAAGTTGGTGTGAACAAAGTTCACAATACCTAGTCAAAGGGGAGTCTTGAACACAGCAGGCAAAGTGACATTTTTGCCAGAAGACTCCCTCTTTTCGAAGTACACTGATACCACTGGGCAGGCACATGCCATGGCAGGGAGAGAAAGCCATGCTCCTTTCAACCTCAGTGGCTCCTACAGGAAAAGCTATTTTGATCTTTGGATTTTTTTCAAATTAGTGTTCTTGTTTTCTTTAGATAAATACCCAGAAGTGGAATTGCTGGATCATAGGGTAGCTCTATTTTTAACTTTTTGAGGAACCTCCATACTGTTTTCCAGAGTGGCTGCACCAGCTTGCGTTCCCACCAACAGTGCATTAAGGCTTCCCTTTTCTCCATATCTCCATTTGGAACAAACAAATTTAAGTTTATGCAGCAGGCTTCTTTTCTTCTGTGGTGGGTTTCTTTTCTGCAGGCTTCTCAGCTGCTGGTTTCTTGGTAGCTGCAATTTTTTTTTCCCACCAGAGGCTTCTGCTTCTTCCAACAGAAGGAAACAACAACAATTGTTATTTTTAGTCTTTTGGATAATAGCCATTCAAATAGGTGTGTGGTGATATCTCACCGTGGTTTTGATTTGCATTTCTCTGATTAATGATGTAGAGCATCTTTTCATGTACCTGTTGGCCATCTGTATGGCTTCTTTAGAAAAATGTCTATTCAGTTCTTCTCATTTTTAATCGGATTTTTTTTTGTTGTTGTTATTGAGTTGTATGTGTTCTTTATATATTTTGGATATAAGCCTCTTGTCAGATATATGATTTACAAATATTTTCTCCCATTCAGGAGGTTGCCTTTTCATTTTGTTGATGGTTTCCTTTGTTGTGCAGAAGCTTTATAGTCTCCCTTGTTTATTTTTGCTTTTGTTGCTTTGTTTTTGGTGTCAGATTAAGAAAATCATTCCCAAGACCTATGTCAGTTTCTTACTGCCTGTGTTGTCTTCAAGGAGCTTTATGGGTTTTGGTCTTTTTTTCTTTTTTAAGATTTTATTCATTTATTTGAGAGAGAGAGTGAGCGAACTAGAGAGAGAGAGCACAAGCAGGAAGAGGAGCAGAGAGAGAGGGAGAAACAGACTCTCTGCTGAGCAGGGAGCCCAACTCGACTTGGACACAGGGGGCTCGATCCTGGGACTCCAGGATCATGACCTGACCAAAAAGGCAGATGCTTAACAAACTGAACCACCCAGGCACCCCTCGTTTTAGGTCTTACATTGAAGTTTTTAATCTATTTTGAGTTCACTTTTGTGTATGTTGTAAGATAGTGGGCCAATTTCATTCTTTTGCATGTGGCTGTCCAATATTCCCAACACCATTTATTGAAGGGACTGTCCTTTCCGCATTGCATATTCTTGGCTCCTCTGTCATAAATTGATTATATATGCATGGATTTATTTCTGTGCTCTCTATTCTGTTCTATTGATCTATGTGTCTATTTTTATGCTGAGACCATACTGTTTTGATTATTACCATAGCTTTATAATATAGTTTGAAATCCGGAAGCATGATGCTCTTCTTTCTCAAGATTGCTGGGCTATTTGGAGTCTTTTGTGGTTCCATACAAATTTATAGGATTGCCTGTTCTTTTTCTGTGAAAAAAACCATTGGAATTTTGATAGCAATTGCACTGAATCTTAGACTGCTTTGGGTAGTATGAATGTTTTTAACAATATTAATTCTTCCAATCCATGAGAATGGAATACCTTTCTATTCATTTTTGTCATCTTCAATTTCTTTCATCAATGTCTTATAGTTTTTAGTGTATAGGTTTTTCATCTCCTTGGTTAAATTTATTCCTAGGTGTTTTATTCTTTTTGATGAAATTGTAAATGGGTTTTCTTAATTTCTCTTTCTGATAGTTTGTCTCTTTGCTGTTGGTTTGTAGAAACACAACAACTTTTCATGTATTGGTTTTGTATCCTGCAATTTTACTGAATTCATTAGTTCTAACACTTTTTTTTAATTTTAAATTTAAAAAAATTTTTTTAATTAACATATAATGTATTATTTGTTTCAAGGGTACAGGTCTGTGATTCATCAGTCTTACACAACACACAGTGCTCACCACAACACATACCCTCCCCAAAGTCCATCACCTAGTTACCCCATTTCCCCACCTCCTCCCCTCCAGCAACCCTCAGTTTGTTTTCTATGATTAAGAGTTCTTGTTTGTCTCCCTCTCTGGTTTCCTCTTGGTTCATTTTTTCCCTCTCCTCCCCTATGATCCTCTGCCTTGTTTCTTAAATTCCGCATATCAGTGAGATCATATGATAATTGTCTTTCTCTGATTGATTTCTTTCACTTAGCATAATACCCTCTAGTTCCATCCACGTTGTTGCAAATGGCAAGATTTCATTTTTTTGATGGCTGCGGAATATTTCATTGTGTATATATATATATATATATATACGCACACACACACATCTTTATCCATTCATCTCTCTATGAACATCTGGGCTCTTTCCATAGTTGGGCTACTGTGGACTTTGCTGCTATAAACATTGGGGTGCAGGTATCCCTTCGGATCACTACATTTGTATCTTTGGGGTAAATACTGAATTGTACAATTGCTGATCATAGGGTAGCTCTATTTTCAACTTTTTGAGGAACCTCCATACTGTTTTCCAGAGTGGCTGCACCAGCTTGCATTCCCACCAACAGTGTAGGAGGGTTCCCCTTTCTCTGCATCCTCACCAACATCTGTTGTTTCCTGATTTGTTAATTTTAACCATTCTGACTGGTGTGAGGTGGTATCTCATTGAGGTTTTGATTTGGATTTCCCTGATGCCGAGCGATGTTGAGCACTTTTTCATGTGTCTCTTGGCCATTTGTATGTCTTCTTTGGAGAAATGTCTGTTCATGTCTTCTGCTCATTTCTTGATTGGATTATTTGTTCTTTGGGTGTTGAGTTTGGTAAGTTCTTTATAGATTTTGGATACTAGCCCTTTATCTGATATGTGATTTGCAAATACCTCTCATTCTGTCAGTTGTCTTTTGGTTTTGTTGACTGTTTCCTTGCTGTGCAAAAGTTTTTTATCTTGATGAAGTCCCAATAGTTCATTTTTGCCTTTGTTTCCCTTGCCTTTGGAGACTGTCTTGCAAGAGGTGCTGCAGCTGAGGTCCAAGAGGTTGCTGTCTGTGTTCTCCTCTAGGATTTTGATGGATTCCTATCTCATATTTAGGTCTTTTTGATGGAGTGTTTAGGGCTTTCTATATATAGTATTGTGTCATCTGCAAATAGTGACAACTTCTTCTCTTCCAATTTTAATGCCTTTTCTTTTTTTTTTTGCCTAATTGCTGTGGCTAGGACTTCCACTACTATGTTGAATAAAAGTGGCAAGAGTGGGCATCCTTATTTTATGCCTGATCCAATGTTGAATATGATGTTAGCTATAGGTCTGTCATATATGGTCTTTAATATGTTGAAGTATGTTTCCTCTATACCAGCTTTGTTAAGAGTTTTTATCATAAACAGATGTTGAATTTTGTTGAATGCTTTTTCTGCATCTATTGAGAAGATCATATAATTTTTATCCTTCATTTTGTTAATGTGGTATATCACACTGACTCATTTGCAGATGTTGAACCATCCTTCTATCCCTAGAATGAATCCCACTTGATCATGGTGTATGATCCTTCTAATGTATTATTGAATTTGGTTTGCTAACATTTTGTTGGGGGCTTTTGAATCTATGTCATCAGGGATATTGGATTGTAATTTTCCTTTCTTGTGACAACTTTGTATGGTTTTGGTAATAGGATAATGCTGGGCTTGTAAATGAGTTTGGTAGAGTTTCCTCCTCTTCTATTTTTTCTATTAAACCTAAACTTTATTTAAGGTTTATGCACTGATATTTAGAAGTAATATTGATCAGAGCCAATAATCCAGGACAACTAATTTTCTTTCTTCCTTCCTTCCTTCCTTCCTTCCTTCCTTCCTTCCTTCCTTCCTTTCTTTCTTTCTTTCTTTTTTTCTTTTTTTCTTTCTTTCTTTCCTCTTTCTCTACTTACTTTTTCTTTAGGTTTTCCTGGACTTCACAATTAATTTGAATGCAAACTCTAAATCAGGATAAAGGTACATTTGGTGAGTAGATTGTATGTGTCATTTCTTTCACAAGGACCTTCAAGTGTCAGTTTTATGTACTGGTATCATTTAATTTTTCACATTATGCAGGCCAAGACCTTGTCCTGTATCCTCATATATTTTTTAAGATCCAAGCCTCATGGTTACTGAACTAAATTCAGTGTGTAACATGTTTGTTATAAACAACATGGCATCTGGTATCCCCCAGACCAAGTGATCTGAGAGAGAGGCAGCAACCAAGATGGTGGCTGCTGTGTCTTTTATAACTGAATATCAGAAGTGGCATACCAATTCTTCTGACATATTCTATTGGTCACACCAATAGACCAACTCTAGTATAATATGGGAGGGGATTACACAAGGGTGTTAATACCATGAGGTGGGGATCATTAGGAGCCACCATAGATGATGGCTACCAGGGTACATATTCACATTTAAATTCTATTAAATCTAGTCTATACTGATAGATCATGACAGCAATGTATTCCCAGCACTCTAGACAATATCTGACAAATAGTAGGCTCCTAATAATTTTTAATAATCAACTAGCTAATTTTATATATCATAGATATATTATAGCATAGATAGTTGGGTTTTAGGTTTTTCTAGAAGGATTTATAGAAGGATATTTTGGCTGCTATAATTTGATAAAGAGAAGTTAAAGGCATGCATAACTACTATGTATATGTAAATTTTAGGCATTACTTCAAAATTTTATTTCACTCAAAGAGGAAGGTTCAAGAGAATGGACATTTAAAATTGTGTTCTAATTTTTACTGTTAGATATATTGTTATTTTGAAATTATTTAAGGTATGTTATAGGATAAAGTATTAAGTAAATAAGTTAATGGTTTAGGAAAGAAGTTTCCATAGAGAGGAAAACAAGTATAAAATATTAAAACATTTTGTGATTTTAAATTTGAACTGGAAATATCAGTGAACACTCATGAGTCTACCCACTCATCCAACCAAACAACAGATTCTACTAATTTCCCTAATTTTAGAAAAGGCTTAGAAACAATGATAATCTAGCAGTAATGAGTATTCGAAATTACTGTTTTTCATTAAAAGGAATTAGGGCTCCTTGGAGAAATGGTTGATTCTAAATCTGAAACAGAAAATTTTCAAGATTAGCCTGGGATGTCTTATGCCAGAAAGCAGGAACTATCAAATTCTAATGTGGTCATATTAAAAAGATATATAATACAGCTTGAAGGAGGTCCCATTGACCTCAGATAAGGCAACTTACACATCAAAAAGATTTAAACAGAATATGTAAAAAATTATGAGTCCATGATGAGACAAAATAATTAAAAAATAGAACAATACCAAACAAAACACACTAACCTCAAGATAATGATTCCAATGGAGTTTTCTAGGATACCAACTCATTACTCTAACAACTAACAAAAAAATCAGGGATTTATTCTACCCGAATAATAGTTGACATAAGAATGACCCTTTTTTTAGTTGAATTACAACGGACATAAAATATCCTATTAGTTTCAGGTGTAAATCACAGTGATTTGATATTTTATAAATATTTTATAAATGAATGCCAGAAAACAAACCACGCAACTGAGTGATGGGCCAAAGACTCTAAGAGAAACCTCACCAAAGAAGAGATCAGATGGCAAATAAACATATGAGGAGAGGCTCCACATTATATGTCATCAGGGAAATGCAAATTAAAACAACTAGATACCACTAAACATCAATTAGAATGGCCAAAATCTGGAACACTGACACCAAATGCTAGTGAGGATGTGGAGCAACAAGAAATCTCATCCACTGTTGGTAGAATATAAAATGGTATGGCCACTTGGAAGACATTTTGGTGGTTTCTTACAAAACTAAACATACTCTTGTCATATGACCTAGGAAGGCTGCTTCTTGATATTTTCCCAAATGAACTGAAAACTTATGTCAATACAAAAATCTGCACATAGATGGTTATAGCAGTTTTTTTCATAATTTCCAAAATTTGGAAAATAAACCTGGAACATCCAGACAGTGGAATATTATTCAGCATTAAAAAGAAATAAGCTATCAAGCCATGAAAAGACATGGAGGAAACTTAAATGCTTATTACTAAGTGAAAAAAACTGATCCGAAAAAGCTGCATACTGTATGACTCCAACTGTATGACCTTCTGGAAAAGTCAAAACTATGAAGCCAGTAAAAAAATCAGTGGTTTCCAAGGGTGGGGGTGATAGTAGGGATGAATAGGTAGAGTAAAGAGGATTTTTAGGACAGTGAAACTACTCTGCATGATACTATAACGATGGCTACATGTTTGTGTTTTTTTGTTTGTTTGTTTTTTTGATACATGTATTTGTCCAAACCCACAGAATGTAAAACACCAGGAGTGAATCCTAATGTAAACTATGGACTCTGGGTGATTACGATGTTTCAAAATGTAGGTTTAAACCCGCTGTAACAAATGTATGACTCTGGTGGGGGTTGCCGCTAATGGGAGAGGCTATGCGTGTGTGGGGGCAGGGGTATACATATATATCTATACCGTTCCCTCAATTGTGCTGTGAACCAGAAGTGCTCTAAAAAAACAGTGTTAATAAATTTAAAAAAATGTAAGAGGTCTGTGATTTGGGTCAACATAATAGCGTGTTTGGCAATTATGAGTAAAAATGAACTGGCACCTGGAGATATGGTCTGAGCTATCATTACACACACGGAAGGTAAATTAATAGCATTCTTGCTTTCTTGGTCATGAGCTAACTCGGAAAATATGATAAGGCCTGGATATTCAGCCTTGGCGTAGACATGTTCATCAATAAGGTAATTCCATTTTCCGTGGATTGATCTGAGAGAGCCCAAAGTACCACGTGGGTCATACCACAGTGCATTTGTTTTTCCTCCATTTATTTGATCCAGGCTCAAGATAGATTATTTGCCTGGTTTGGTTTACACCTTTGTTTTCCCCATGAAATTTTTTAAGTATACAAGGTGAGGGACCAGGTCTTATTCAGGTTTGTCAATCACTATTTCCTGAAGCAAAGAACTATTCAAAGTAAAGATAAGAAAATTCACTTGGACTCACACATTCCAGGCCTAAAAGAAGCCAGGTTACCTGACTATTTATAAAAGTGGAATTAATACCACTTCACAAGTTTACAGATAAAAAGATGGCCACAAAGTCTCAATGTGTATAGCATTTGTGGAATTACATGGTTGCAGAAAAATCAATCTCCTGAAACATTCTCTCAGCAGTAACAATGACAACCCTATTCTGTTTCTTTTGCTAATCTTAATGTGAGTTATTGACTGTGTGGAGGTGGGAGGCGAGAAGCAGCTGTTCACATGGGTGGTATACAAGATAATCTTAAAGATTCTCTGGCCCAAATTATTTTCACTCTTTTCTATTTCTTATGCTTGCAAATCCTATATTTTTAATACTAAGAAAGGCCCTGCTTGAATATGGAAAAGAAATTAAAAAGTGGTCTCTTTCCACACTGATAACCACTTGGCCTCTGTGTTCTTGCTACCTCACCACTGCCTATGTTTTTCTCATCAGCGGCACACCCAGGCAGAAAAGAGGGACTCCCTAGGTAACAGAGGCTTTCCTCGGAGTGGGAGGACCTGGGTTTCCTTGCTAAAAACTCCAAACAAACTCTTAAGATCCATTTAACATAATTAAATTCTTGGTGGTGAAGAACTGATCAATGGGGCCGATCCAGGTACAGTGTCCCAGCATAAAGACGCTGTATGTCTTTGGAAGGAGGAACGTAGATAGACATGTTTTCTTCCAGTTTGGAAACTGCAGATATTCTATTTTTCTTTCTTTAAATAACTAATTCTGGCATTTGGGGACAGATGATTTTATCCAAATTTCAATTCATAAAATTTCTCATATGTCTGAGCACTTTCTGCATTTGACCCAAGAAGTACATGCCATAAAAATCAACAGAGTATTTTCTTTAGAATACTAGGAACATACAGAAATCTCAGCAGAGATACTGTTGTACCACATATGTTTTGATAAACAACACTTTTCAAAGCTTTTGTATTTTATTCATCCAAGATTTTAACAAGAAATAAATCTGAAGAGGCTAGTGGCATGAAGGTATCTTCTATGAGGAAAGAGAATATCTATCCCTAGTTTTCAATTATAGAGCGAACACCTAGGCAAACATCAACCATGAAAGGATACGAACAAAGGTTTGGGCAATTAAAATGCTACCAGTTACAGCACAAAAGGTTTGTCTTTTCAATCAGTTGCATTTTAGTTATTTGAGGACAAAATATTCCAATGAACATCTTTCAGTACTATTTTTAGTAGTTCTTTAGAATGTTTTTATGTTTAATTAGAAGTTTGATTTCATATTACCCTGAACACTATTCATTGGGGGTACAGACAGAAGAAAGGGATTAAACATATTAATATAATTAATATCTAATCAATAGCTATTAACTGATATGTAGGAAAATTAAACATATCAGTTGAGCCTATTTATGGCATGAACTAATTTAAAAACCAACAAGCTTTGGGACGTATGCATAAATAAAACAAAAGCATAATGTAGTCTCTTTTTACCATACTTTTAGCAAATGTAGCAAATGAGCATAGAAATATAAAAAATACATAAGCCAGGGATTAATTAGTCACTTTACAAAAAAAAAAGGCTTTTATTTTAAGAAAGTATTTTTACAGGAAGTATTTCTGTAAGTATTAATATATAACTCTTTTTATAATTATTTTATACATTACTACCTTTAAAGGATGCTAGTAGTTGCCCACCATGAGATATTCTTGTGTTGAGCCGGGGACAACTTACAAAAAAATTCTTGAATGATACTCAGAAATATTTTAATCCTCATGTGTCAATTTCTTTCAGTGGGAGTGATGATACAAAAAAAAAGACAACTGTCAAAAGTACCATTTTTTAAAATATGTCACATAAATCATTAATATGAGTTGATTTTATGATGAAAGACTGCAGGTCAATTTTAAATATAAGAAAACAAGTCACATGGCCAAGTACTAAATAATGGACATGAAACTTGTCACTAACATTCTTTTTTATTTTAAATTCCTTTTCTGTACTTTTTGCTACCCTTATACCTACTTTTTCCTGTCTCCACTATGCCTGTCTCTCTGCCCTCT